TAGAACTGAGACTAGGTTTAGAAATGAGACTAGAATCGCGTACATTTTCGACATTTTATCTGAAAACTCATTATTTTTTTTACAACTAACATCAACAAACCTTATTGAGGTGACATCCATGTGGCAAATATATGTCGACATAATTAGATTCGAGGTGTGTATAGGAACAATCTTTTATTTTTTGCCTGTCATGTCAGCCTTTGTTTCACTCAGTATTTCTTTCACCAAAACATAGGATATGGTCACCTTTCGCTATCTTTTACTATTTTTTTTAAAAGGTATTTTATATAAATATTATACTTATTTTGTAGGGAAATAAAAACTATGAATTTTGATATATTTTTTATAATTTTTTTGTATGTATATAATTTATTGATTATTAAAAAACTGAAAAAAAAAAAAAAAAAAAAAAAACCTGACCAATCATAACAGGAGAGAAAGTGTAGGGTCTCTTTCCCTCGCTCCTATCCTGCACCCCCATTCCCATAGGGCCGGTGTTGTGTTCCTATGTGCGGGAATATTTTCCGCTCTTCCTTCCTGTTATGCACCCTGTAGCTTTAGAAAGATGTTTCTTAGAAAAAAAAAAAACCCATCAAATCTTAAAAAAACCCATTGTCACATCTATTTAATCAATTTTTTTTTTTTTTTTTTGCTTTTTGATTTTTTTTCTAAATCGTTATAATTATTGTTTTTTTATTAAATTAATTATTTATTATTTAACTTATCTTACTATGTTTTTATTTAGATTACATTTATGTTTTTTTTTTATTGAAAGAGATACTTTTTAGATTTTTTGTTTGTTTCCAATTCATTTTTAAATATTTTTTGCAAATTGGCATCTTTTTTATAAAGATGACTTTGGTTTTTTCCTTCATGATTGTTTTAGTTTTTGTTAAATAAATGACTTGTTCGTTTATCCGAAATCAGCTTTTAAAAAACCGAATCATCCAAATTTGTAACTTTCTTTATACCTTAGGTTAATTAATCCGAATATGGTTGTTGATTAATCCAAATCATGAAAAAACATAAGTATTTAATCCGAAAATTGTTAAACTTGAAAAAATATAAGTTATTTAGTCCAAAAACGGTTATAAACTAATACAAAATGTGAAAAAAAAAACATAAATTATTTAATCCAAAATTATATAGCTTTTTTTATAACTTATGAATGTTTTGAACTTTTTTATGTTTTGTTCGTTTATCCGAAGCCGACTTTGTAACGTCTTTAATATATATATATATATATATATATATATATATATATATATATATATATATATATATATATATATATAGAGAGAGAGAGAGAGAGAGAGAGATTTTTAGGCCATCAATACATCAATTGTTCCAAAATCAAACATGATATAAATGCATCTCAAATATTAGAGTAAAACAATAATTATATATATATATATATATATATATATATATATATATATATATATAGAGAGAGAGAGAGAGAGAGATTTTTAGGCCATCAATACATCAATTGTTCCAAAATCAAACATGATATAAATGCATCTCAAATATTAGAGTAAAACAATAATCATCAATACAAAAATCATAAGGGGAATGTTGTGCAGTTAAGCCGGATCCTCCATTTTAAAATTGGAAATACTTGAAATGTTAAACCACAAAACCGTAAGCTTAAAGCTTAATGGGTTTTCCAAAATACCACATACCATATAAATGGGTTCAGCCTGACTTATATATAAATGGGCCCAACCCAACTTGCAAATAGGCCTAGGCCAACATACATACAAATGGGCCCAACCAAAAATGCAAATGGGTCAATTTTAATATACATACTAATAGGTTCAGACCAACATGCAAATAGGTCCATCCCAATATACATAAAAATGGGTCCAACCCAACTTACATACAAATTGGCCCAACTCAACATACAAATGTAAGAGTCACAAAGACAGATATCATCCTACACAATTTAATGAGAAAACTCACCTCAAGACAGACAAATCTCACACTCGAGCTGTTGATACTAGAATTCCTCACACTAATCATATACACAATAAAACCGTAATAAAAAATTAAGGTAAGAATACGTACTCAAGGGTCTTTGTTCATAGTTACTAACTTACTATCCTTGGGGTAAAAGACCATTTTACCATTCCAATACTAGAACCCACTCCACTTGACCAATAATCCATTTTGTCAAAAATCAACCTTCTTGCGTTATGCTCATCGTAACACCATGCTCTACGTTCAACGTAGAGCCTAGATGGGAATACAGAGAAGTTTTAGGCTACTCTAAGCGTAGCTAAGATTATGCCCAATGTAATACGTTGATTTACCAACTTATTATTAAGCTCTTAATAAACAAAGACCAATAATCTAATCCTTATATATATATATATATATATATATATATATATATATATATATATATATATATATATATATATATATATATATATATATATATATATATATATATATAATGAACGTCCTAAGGAGTAAAATCTCTGACTTTACACTTTTGCATGGCTAAAAAGAGTATAAGGCCAAACCCTAAGTCCATAAAACATTATAATGCTTAAGAGCTCGTGCATGAATGGATGACAGTGACCAAGCTCCTATTTTTAGGACTTTACAAGCTTATAAACGTCTGTAAATTATACTCATAAGGTCTGGAGCTTCCAAATGCTTCTCCAATGGGCTCAAACTTCAAGAATATACACCAAAAATAGTCCAAGTCTTCTAAAATCTCACAAGGTGGCTAGGGTTTCGAAGTGACTGAATACAAGGGTGGATGCGAAGCATGGAGAGGTCCACAAGGAGTTAGAACCTTTAAATAGGGTTCACAACCCGTTAATTAGGGCTTTGATGTTGCGCTCCTACGCTCAACGTATGTCATTAAGCCCATGCATGGAATCCTTTACCTACGCCCAACGTAAAAAGCTATCCTACGCTCAACGTAGGGCACCCAAAATGCATAAATTACAAAATTAAACATTAAGAATTATATTTGAGGATAGGGGTGTTATAGATTAGGAATATTTTATATAGACTAACTGAGTGAATATAAAACTCAGATTAACGGGATACATAAATGGTTATATTGTATATTCATATCGAATGCAAAATTCCAAATCTGTAAATAATTACCGAAGTTAATAAGTAGTTATACTTTTTTAATATTTATTAATATTAACCTTAAAGTGTGTCTCTTCATTTATGTGTATCTCCAACTTTTTACTATTACCATTTTTTTGTTAAAATATTTACAGTTTATGTGCTTACATTAATTTAAACAATGATTAAAAATGAGGTTTTCTCTAGTTTTATAAGACTAAAAACTTAAATAAACACTTAAACAGTTTATGTGCTTACATTAATTTAAACAATGATTAAAAATGAGGTTTTCTCTAGTTTTATAAGACTAAAAACTTAAATAAACACTTAAACACTTAGCAATGAATCAGTTAACAACTAATTAAGGAACAAAAGACGATTTGAATCAAGAATATTAAAGAGACTTCCGTTTAGATACGATTCAGTTACTCATATGGTTGATTTCGTGGAAAGTGCGATGGATTAATGTGTTATCAATTACTGATTTCTAATATGATCAGGTTAATATTCACTACACTAACCATTTAGCAAACAAGTTAATTCAAACAGTAATCAATTGATTAAACTAACAAGTTCAATAGAATTAAGTTCAAATCACGCAAGACTTGTAATTTCGATTGATTTAATTGGTTAATTAAATTAATTCATATATGGTTGGTCATCATATATAACTCACACATCAATTTATTTACTTTCTAGTTAATCCTAGATTTTGTTCAATACGTTAGTCTTACAATTTTGTAATAAATAATGGTTTTTGGATTTTTGAAAAGTTTTAAATTTTTACGAATTTTTATGGGTGTTAGAGACCTAAATAACCCGAAGATGAGGGAAACTTTAGTTTTATTCTTTAAGAATACCTATTATTTTATAATCCTTGTTCTTTAAGAATGAACTCGAATTTTAGATAAAAAGAAGTTACATGGGTACCACATTTGATGGTCTTGTTGGTGCTGGATTTGGTGGAGTAGGGGCATGCATGACACTAGTGGCCATTAGTAAAGTTTTGTTGGTGTATGTTAATTTTATAGGTATTTTTTTATTGTATGTTGATACTTGTATGCTCATTATTATTGTTGGTTCTTGAAGCTATGCATGATTAATGTTGGTTCTTGAAATTATGTATATTAATTCCTGTAAAAATGCATAATAATAATAATAATAAAAAGTTTATTATGTTCATTCATGAGTAAAGGTATATTCATTCTTTCATAATATGGATTTTTTTGTATGTTCACTCTTTTAAGTTATGTAAGTTCATAGAATGTATAATTAAAAAAAGTTATATATGGTTCTTTATCAATTTTTAACTTTATGATCTTGATAATCAATTTTAAATTGTGAGATGTATTTGGTTGGTTAGTAACAAAAATATCTAATATTTCTTATTTTATTGTTAACTAAATTGACATAATTATTTTTATAACCATTTTGAGTTTGTTGTATAATACAATAAACTCAAAATGGTTGTAAGAGTAATTATGTCAATTTGGATGTACTTTAAGAACATCAACATTTAAACATTTTCTTTTTGGTATTTAAAAAAAACAAAATAACAAAAAAAATGTATTATATGGATGTAGATTAATTTATATCACTACGTTAAAAAGATCGTATATGGATATGATTTAAAGCGTAGGATATTAAAATAGGATAATCATGTATAATTTATATATGATTATTCTATTTTAATATCCTATACTCTAAATCATATGCATATATAATTTTTTTTAAAGTAATGGTCTAAATTAATCTATATCCATATAATAGTTTTTTTATTTTTTATTTTTTATTTTTTTATTTTTGTATTTTGCTTTTTTTTTAAATACCAGAAAAAAATGTTTAAATGCTGATGTTCTTACGGTACATCCAAATTCCAAAGTAGTTAAGGTTTGTTTGATTTGGAGATGATTACGGTGACGGGGAATCCAAAAAAGCTAGGTTTCTTCATCGCCACCCTGAACAAAGTTAAAGCTACGTCCACTGCTCATTCTTCACTACCTTATTTCAGAAACCCTTCATCGATTTTTGAATCAGGTAACGAAATCTGTTACCCCAAAACGATTTCAGCTCACTTTTATTCAACTTCTTCTTCCAATTCTCAAACACAGGATAATCATACCCTACCTATGATTGACAAGATTTCTAATCTTGATGATGCCCTTAAACTGTTCGACGAAATGACACAGAGGCAACCTCTGCCATCAGTTGTTAAATTCAACCAGTTGCTGCAAGCTGTTATCAAAATGAAACACTATTCTTGTGCGATTGATATTTTTAAACAAATGAATGCCATTCATATTCCTGTGAGTGTATACACTGTTAGCATTATAATCAAATGTTGTTGCTTAATGTATCGCACCAGGGAAGGGTTTGCAGTCCTAGGTTATGGTTTCAAACATGATATTCCACCCAATGTCTACACTTTCAGTATACTCTTAAATGGACTTATTCTAGAAGATAAAGTCCTCAAGGCAGAAATATTATTCAAGAAGCTGATCAAAGAGGAACTTTGTGAACCTAATGCGATTATGTACAGCACAATGATTAAGGGGCTTTGCAAATGTGGAAATAACAATACAGCAATTGCTTTGCTTAGACTAATGGATAAAAAAGGTTGTAAACCTGATGTAGTCACATATAACACCATCATTGATAGTCTTTGCAAGGATAATATGGTAGATGATGCATTAAAGCTCTACAAAGAAATGATCTTCAACAAACGCATCCAACCTCATGTTGTCACTTACAGCTCTTTGATTCATGGTCTTTGTAACTTATGCCGTTGGGACGAGGTCTCTAAAATTCTCAAAGAAATGGAGCAAAACAATATTTCTCCAGATGTTCAAATATTTAGCATATTAGTCGATGCACTTTGCAAGGAAGGTAAAGTGGAAGAAGCAAAAGGTGTTATCAACTTAATGATTCAGAGAGGAAAGGATCCTAATGTAGTGACATATAATTCACTTATTGATGGATATTGTTTGCGAGGTGAAATGAGGAAAGCAAATGAAGTTTTTGATTTGATGGGGGTTCGAGGTTTGGTTCCTAATATTGTTACTTATAATAGTTTAGTGAATGGGTATTGTAAGAAATTGAAGATAGAAGAGGCCATGCATTTGTTTCATGAAATAACTAAAAAAGGTATGAAACCCGATGTGATCACTTACAACACCATGATACAGGGATTGTTTCAAGTTGGACGTTGTGAAGATGCAGATGAACTGTTTCATGAGATGCGAGCACACAACGTGATTCCAGATGAAATCACTTACGGAATAGTTTTGGATGGTCTATGCAACAACAATCAAGTGGATGAAGCACTCTCTTTGTTCCATTTGAAGGGTGACAACAAGCTAAATTTAAATATAAAGGTGTACAATATACTCATAGATGGTGCAAGTAAAAGTGGAAAATTTGATATTGCAAGGATTCTTTTCGATGACATAAGTGTTAAAGGTTTGCAACCTAATGTCATGACATATACTATGATGATTGGTGGTTTTTGTCGCGAAGGTCTTGTGAGGGAAGCAAAAGAATTGTTTCTTGAAATGGAAGAGAGAGGTTGCCCACCAAATAATGTGACTTACAACATTCTTCTTCAGGGAATTTTAAAAAACCAACAACATGATATGGTAGAGATGCTTTTACAAGAAATGGAAGGAAGACAATTTTCACCTGATGCTTCAACTTTATCACTGTTACTTGGTCAAATCGCAACTAGATCGTTAGATGCTTCTTTGATTAAGTTGATTGGAAAGATTATGCCAAAGGAAGAAGTGGATTGTCCTTCTTTTACAATGTAGTTGGAATTTGGGTTCTTAGAAGATTTGCTTTTTAGCTATCTTTGGTTTGCAAGTTTGTTATGGTTCAATTATTGTTGTTTGTCAATATTGGTTTTACCTTTATTACAACTTTTTACCAAAAGTAAAGACAATAAATTCTTAGTTAAACAATATGTAATATGACTAAACACCTAAAGTTAAACAAGACATGTTTTAAACCTTCTTGTTTGACTTTTTAAACCCGTTGGTTCGTTTTGTTGACGTAGACACTCCACAAAAATGGGATTTCTTAAAGGAAAAAAAGGAAGAAACCATTTTAAAAAAATGATTTTAAATATTTAGGAGACACATTGTTTCTTTCTGTAAGCTTTATATAAATTATTTTGGTGAAATTTTTAAATGAATATATAAGGTGTACAGTTACACGATTCAAAATTTTCGTATTCTTGGTTCTGTTGAAGAATTGACAACTTTAGACATGAATTTACCACTCTTTATTCAAAGAAAGAAGTCATTTGATTAGAGTGTACACACTTTAAGTCTTTAACCCGCCAATTTGGATACCTTAGGGAGTTTAAGTTTCATATTATTTGATTATTTAGTTATTCAAGTAGGAGTTATCTTTATTAGAAACTAACTAAGTTATATCCCGTGGAAACCACAGTTACAAAAATAAGTAAATTTTTATAGTAAATGATTGAATATAAACAACTTATAATGATCCTTTGTGATTTTATTACAACTTTTAGGGACACCAACAAACAATGTTTTAAAACCCGGGTTTTTAGTTGACCCGATGTGATGACCGGTTCACGGGTCAACAGGTTCAACCGTTGAACCGCCGGGTCAACCCGGTTTATGGTCTTTTTCTATTTTTATATATTTTTACTTTCTTGCATAATGCATAAACATATAAAACCAATAATTCGATGTCTAAAAAGTTTAAACATTGAAAAACATTGAAGAAACTACAAATGGTTCGTTGTTTTGGCGTTCGCTACTTGTATCCAACCATCCAAACCTTATTAAAACGGATCAATCCGGTTTAACCGGTTCAACATAAGCAATCGAACCGTGGTTTAGGGGAAACCCGGTCGGTTCGATCCGGTCTGAATTTTTACAAAAAACTGTTCTCAATTGATCGGCTTTCTACCCCGGGTCACGATCCAACCGGTGGGTCGACCCGGGTTTTAAAACATTGCCAACAAAACTCACCAAAATATGATAAATTGTGCTTAAGCAGATGTAACTATTTCAAGCTAAGAATCTAATAGAATTTAAAGCAGACACCAACCTATAGAGCATAGAACAAAACTTTGACTGCAAAAGCATTAACCACTTTCAATACTTGAAAATACGCTGAGTAAGCCGTTCAAAAGTGAAACCATTGAACAACCAAGTAACAAAACATCCTTAAAAACCAATGAGCAAATTGACTTGCATGCTTATGAAAAAATATAAACAATGAAAATGTGGTGGGTGGATACCCAAATGCCCCCCTTTCATTTTAAAAGTTCCAATGCAAACACATCTTTGTTCCAAGATTCCTGAATATAAAATGTTTTCTTTACCAACTATTTTTCAACTACTTGATCGTTCTCTACTCATTCCGATTTCGAAATTGAAAAAAAAAACATTTCAAAAAGTAAGATGTTATAAAAGATAGTTTCCAAAAAGTAAAACACTATAAAAGAAGATTTAAAAAATAAATTTGATGTTCGAAATCTTCAAAAATAAACCATGGTATAAAGTATAATGCTATAAATGACCGTTTTAGAAAGTAAAATGCTATAAAGAAAATATTTTTTTTATTTTATGGTCTACGTTGAAAATTTAAAAATAAATAAATAAATAACATTTTACAAATGAAATCAAAGTAAATTGCTATGAATGGTAACATAAACCGTTAACAACAATTTTATTAATTTTTTTTTTTAAATATACATAGAAGTACATTGTAAAAAAAATATGTATATTATCATATTTCATAAACGTCAAATATTTTTCAATTATGCAAAAAGTTCAAGTATTATTTATTCCAAATGAAATCAGGCCATGTTTTGTAAAGCAACTAGTAAACCGAAGAAAATACCTACGGTTTCCGTCTTTTTTCTATAAAATAAGTAGGTCACCTAACTTCTAAACCTGAGTAGTAGCTCTAGAAAACATGGTCCGGTCACAAAAGCATAGAATAGTAAATTATTTATAGAACTAAAGCCACCACCATAATTAACATAAAAAGAAACTTATTTCAATCTTTACATTTTTACCTCTTCATTAAAGAAAGACGCAATGTATTGTAGTATAAAACCATGTTGTAAAATCCCAAAAATCATAAATTTTTAAAATTTTCAAAAAGAACTCATTTCATCCATAAAATGTTATAAAACCATTGTTTCAAAAGTATTATTCAAAATCAGAGTATCCAAGATCCAATATCATAAAAATTAGAGATGTGCATGATCACACATTCTCTTTGCCACGGTCATCTGTAAGCCAAAGCTCCCAAAGTACCACCATACAAACATATAATCAAATAAATGTTGGGTCCACAACCACTCTGCTGGATTACCTCTCACCTGCAACCTTTCAGATGGAATGCACCGGCCCACAACCTTACAGTTGCAACGCTTAATATATAACGGGCCCACAACCTTACGGTTGCAATGCTCAATATATAACGGGCCCACAGCCTTACGGTTGGAATGCCCTGGCCCACAACCTTACGGTTGGATTGTCTCGGTCTGTTAAATGACAGAACAAAGCATTAGTCTCTACCCCAACATAACATGTCGACATATAATAAATAACAAACATACTCAACAAATAGATACTCATACAACCAGTAATCACAGGTAGTCCTATAGATCTACCACTCTAATGCCTATTATCAGTTATCATATAATTATACAGATCTACTGTATACTCAACATATCATCGATCAATATATATATATATATATATATATATATATAATATATATATATATATATATAAACAGGTAATCAAACCAATGGACTGGCCTTGGTGCCTTCGACCCGCAAGTACAGTGAGGAAAACTCACCTCTCAGTCCGAACAAACAAATGAATAAATCTATGCTCTAAATACCGGCTCTACTCGTCACCTATTATTCAAATCATAACCCAACTTAACTTATTATCAAAATACCCAAAATACCCTTTGGTCAAATTCTGGTCAAAGTCCAAAAAGTTAAAAACCCAACCGAGTCAACTCAGCTGAGTACGTTAGGTATACTCGACTGGTACGAGGGGCGTACTCGATCATTGACCAGGTGTGAATTGATTGTGTATGCGCAGTGTACCACTTGGTACCCCTAGCGTACACGTCTGGATCCTTTCTCAACTCATTAAGTGCCTAATACTTAAGCCCTTACATCCAAATTATTGATCCATACCCAAAATGTCATCCTTAACCATAAAGTTTCCAACTTTATGATCTTGCATGGCCATTAAGTGCTAAATATCAAAAATTCTAACCTCTCAACCCATTAAGACATCCAAACTCATGCATGGAATGTAAATAATGAACAAGACCACATTTTTATGCTTCTAAACACTACAAAATGTCTGAAAGGACAACCTAAATGGATCGGAGTAGATCATACTCTAAATACCAAACAGTTGGGGACTAAAAGAGTACAAACTTCATGGCTAAACTAGATCTAAGCAAATTTTCATCAAGTTCAAAGTTTTTTTACCTTCAAAGAGTGTCCATAGGTGATGTGATTCTGGATCCAAGGTGCTCCATACTTCTAGGATGATCTCCTCTTTTTTCCTTCTCCTTCAAGATCACCAAAACACACATACAAAACTCAAAATGGCCTCAAATGAACTATGGTTTGCTAGAGGGTCGAAATGGAGTTGGAGGTTGATGAAGATAAGAGGTTTGGGGCCATAAAGATGATTAAGTAAGGTCCTGATGATATATGGTCCATTAGCATGACATAGACAGACCTGACACGCCAGCCTAGCCTGGCGCTCCCTTGTCAGCCATGCCTGTCGCTCCCTTGTCAGCATTTCCTGGTGCACGCCCACCAGCCTTGCCTAGTGCGCGCCTGTCGGCCTCACTCGATGCCTCCATGCGGCCTTGCCTAGCTCCTTACTAGTCGGGCCTGAATTAGGCTGGCCCAAGGCCTGACCTAATTCCCCTTGACCTATTTATACACTATAAATAGAATAGTACCTCCTCCATTAAGAGGAACTTCCCTCGGTGGCTTAACCACCACTATATCTTTCCCATTAGCACAATCGCCACCCTAGATTCCAGCCGGTTTGTTCAGCCGCCACCCTCCACCACCAGCCGCCATACACCATCCGAAGCACCAAGATGGTTCTCTCCAGCTATAACTCTCACCGTGCACATTCAGGACACAATCCCGATACACCCTCGTAGCACTAACGGTGTGGTCATCCGCAATATCCACTTTGAGTGGGGAAACCAAAGTTCCCGGCGCTTCCCGGAACTTCTTGCTAAGCACAAGAGATACGAACGATCGGGTAGCACCCGAATCAAACAAGACATGAGCAGACATACCATTGACCTAAAAGGTCCCTATACCATCATATAGTACACATAAGCGAAACAACTACATAAAGTAGGGAAGAATGAATACGTACCAGCCACAACGTCTAGCGCTGCCCATGCCTCCTCGTTTGTCAGCTGAAATGCACGGCTCCTCACTGCTGGAGCTTCCTCCTTAGCAGGGAGACCAACAACAATCCTCATTATGGCGGGCGCGGGCGCCGCCACAACTCCCCCTCCTCCCTCTAACCTCGAACAATCAGCCTTTTTATGGCCAGTTTGGTTGCAGTAGAAACATATCAGGCCCTTCTTGGGGCAGTCCGTGCTTACATGGCCCGGCAGACCACACATATAACATACCAGGTTCGACCCCCGGTAAGCTCCCCTATGGGATCTCCCACACTTGGAACACCGACCACGGCCCTGTTGGCCCTTACTAGATGCATCCGAGGCCTTAGGCTTCTTAGCCTGTCCTACT